AAAAAAAAAAAAAAAAACCAGTTATCAAGGAAGAATTTATTCGGTGCTCTTACTTTGACATAAAAGAAGCGCACGCGTGGAAGAAACAGAGAGAAAAGAGAGAAAAAGAGAACTTAATGCGCGCAATATGTGTAATCGCTTCGGGAACTCAAGGTTGGAAACTATTTGTCAAACACAAATTGCGTTTGCGAACTTGTGGACGGCGCTACACGTTGTAACACGGAGAATCGCTTAAAGCGCGTGTTGTAAATTTTTGCGTTGTTTGATTTTGTTTTGTTTTGTTTTTTTTTTTTTAGAATTGCATCACAGATCCGCGCGACGACGATCGGGCGCGTTCGACACGCGCAAAATGGCCGGGGCAATTTGTCGACGGAAGATGCTCCAATCGAGAATGCGTTATCGGTGCTATGACGGCGAAAAAAAAAAATGTTTTCTCACAGCTTTCGTTTCACGAGAGCTCTTGCTCGTACTCGATATTGTGTGTGTGTGTGTGTGTGTGTATAATTCAGCGCGGTCTACGAAGCGCGGGTCGCAAATTGCAGATCCCAGAGAGTCGTAGTTCCGAAGTACTCCCTCTTATTATTTATAGACGCGATTTCTTGTGTCGGCGAATGTGTCCGCGCGATTTGGGAAAACTCTCAGATTGTCTCGGCCGAACGTGTTCTACACGCAACAGAAAAAAAAAACATTCATCAAACGGAATTGAGAGAACGCTTTTCCCGCGAACGAACATACTTTTACATTAACGCCAATCATCCGGAATTGAACAAATTGCGATTCAACATATCAATTGCAAATTGATTAATTGTAAATATTTCATCAGCGATTCACTCTCAGTTTTGTAATTAATTTTGTCCACATTAATTATTCCGCCATGTTGTTACGTTGTTCGAAGATACAATATTCCAATTATCGTAGCCAAGAACATTCGACCGAGTTTCGTTGCCCGAAATGCATGCGGAAGAGAAATACGCATGCCCGAGCGGTCGAAATGCCCCGTGTTTACGCGATTGTTTCGCCGGTCGACGAGAGTCCTGCGGTCAACACACAGTGCCGCATTCAAAGTCTCCGGCTGAATCGGCTCGGGACCCGATCGATAACGCATCGCGCAATAGGATTGGCTAACGAGGTGCTATTTGCTTACAGGTTCCCATGGCTTTTCCGCAACGGATGACTTTCCCAAGCGAGAGAAGGGTCTCAAAGTTTAACGATCCAACGACGACGTAAGCAGCAGATATCTCGTGAACGCGCACACGAGCGAACGACAGAGACAAGCTCTTTCCGTGGAGGTTGAATTTTTTAGCTGCTGTCGCAGTCTCGATGAGAACGCGCAAATTAATTAAAGACTTTGCGCCGAAGAAGTCGTTCACTCAACGTCTTTACGAAATTTCGCACGAAAATCGTTCCGCGATTATTAGGAGAAAAAGGCTTTCTCTCTCGCGCTCCTCATAATTTCCAATTGCGCGCGATAGAAAGCAAGCGAGGCGACGCGCAAAATTCTCCTTAAAACTTTTATATCGCGACGTGACAACGACGACGACCGACAACGGTGAGGAGACTAGAGGGATATTTTCCTCTTCGCTCCTCGGATTAGAGTATGTAAATATTCCATCTTCGAGATTATATCCCGAGGCACGCGGAACAAAAGGTTTCGCGAGCACTGTTCGCGAACCCTTTGTCATATATATTGCCGACCGGGTAAAGACTGCATAACGCCGGGGGACCAATGGGGGAAGGGGGAGGGGAAAGGGAGAAACGCCGGTGGTATGAATCCGCAGCGGAGGCTTTATCTATTCTGGGACAATATCGCGGAATATATGGCGGCGCTTAAGAAAACACACGGAGCTTTAACGTCGGCGGTTCGTCAGTCTCTCTTTCCCGCGAAACACAAATTTCCTACTCGCGAAGAACGTTGTTGTTTCGAACAATCCGCGCGTTTCCGCGCTTCAAATAACAAACTTTCCGCGCTCTTGGGATTTTTTTGCCACGAATCTTCCTTTTCTTATTTGGCAAATTTAAAAATTATCAAAACCGTAATTTGAACACGAAACAATTCCCGCGAATGGCTTGCGTTAGCTCGTCGTCGCAGGTTACTCAAGGTACAGGTACGCCAAGTGGACCCTTTGAAAGAGAGAATTTCGTTCAAAACAAGATGGCCGCTCTCAGATGCTAGGACTAGTATCTAATGACTAGTGTCTAATTAACCTAAGACTAGTATATAATTTTCATATACTTTCATTCACTTCAACAGAAGTAAAAAATAAATATTTTTGCTTTATCACAGTGGCCGCAGATTGACAGATTGAGTTAATCTACAAGTTACAAGTCTTCGCGGCTCAGTTTGAACGGAGAGAAACACGTGACCATTATGTCTAAAACTGCGGCAGCCAATGAGAAGCGTGGACGCTATTGACCTGTACTTTGAGTAACCTGTGCTCGCCGCTCGTGGAAGATAGCGCGCGATCCATCACCGGGGAACGGACAACAAAATGAACAACGCGGAGCGAGCGAAGCATTGGAGCGTCGCGCGGTGGTTTCCGATACAATTGATAGCGTGAGATACACGAGCGCGCTCGCGAGAAAATGCGCTCATTTCGCGCACGTTCCATTTCGCAGAGTGAAAAAATCACGTGACTCCTTTTTTCCGCTAAAAAAAAAAAAAAAACGTCCGATTAGCATTCCGCTGTTGTCATCTCGCGACGTCGCGTCCTTATGCTCCGCGAAGAATTTTTCGCAACCTGGATGAAAAATCCTCTCTCTCTCTCTATCTCGTTTCTGCTTCGCAATCGAGAATTCCGCCTGCGGAAACTCCCGCGAAGACTTCGTTAAACCCGGAAAAAGCGAATCTCGGCGCGCGGATTCCAACGAACGAGAAACTTTGTGACGAGGAGAAGCTTCTCTCGCTGCCGGATGCAGCTTGAATAATCGCGGAAAAATAATTGAAACGCGAAGAAGGATCGATTTAAATGACAGACGCGCGCAACGAGAATTATCTTCCGGCTTTTGAGAGAGAGAGAGATCCGTCGGGTCCGCCGAATCTTAATTAACGACATTTGTGCGTGTCTCTTTCGAAAGAAAGAAGATTAATTCGACGACGAGTACCAGTTTGCGCTTCGGCTCCATGTAATTCCGCAATAACGTGAACAACGTGAAAAAGTACAATTACATTTTTTTCCCCGAACGTTAAAACTGCGCGCGCGCGCGCGGTAACGTAAAATTAAACGTAATCCTGATGTATCCTACGACAGCGGTTTCGAAGTGGAAACGCAGGTGCACGTTGAATTAAAAACAGCACGCGAAATAAAACGTCGACTCCGCTCCGTGCGCTCGTTATTGAAAAAAGGCTCGTTATGCTTATGGAATTATCTCGTCCATAAATTATAATCATCGCGCACACACGAAGGCAAACGCGCGCGTTTGACGTGTTTTACACATCCCGCTCGACATTTTCAAGCGGTTCATATGGGGATACGCTTTTTTTTTCTACGTATCTACGAACCGTTTAATTGCTTCCGCTGTTTTCATGCTTTAGTTCATCACGGGAAGAGAGCGAATTAAATATCGTAGATCTTTCGTCCTCGATTATTTTGTACGTATAATACAAACGAAAGTGACGCGTTCAACCGAGTGGAAAATTTTCTATCTCGGACGTTTATTTTCATTTGACTCTTTTGTTTATATAAACAAAACAGATATATAATAAAAAACATTTGTATTTAATTCACTTCAGAACTTCCCTCTCGTTTCTCGAGAGCGCGACGAAGCGTGCGACTTAATCAACGCGTGCGTGTTATGCATTTGTCATAACTTTTCGCATAATTGTCGATGCGTGTATATACACGCGTGCGCGCGCAGATGTCGAAAACAGCTGGCGGGTCTCGCAAAATACACGTGACGTAAGCAACGATTTGAGTCGCCAATACAGAACTCAGATGCATAAATTATTATTATTACTATTCTATTTCACCCCAGTCTCTTTCCATCCGTCCGTCCGTTCGTCCTCTTGGCTGCTCACCCCTCGGGGTTAACGTACTCCGAGAAATTCCGGTGTTCTGCCATTCCCCGATGGGGATTCATCCCCGCACAAGCAGGCAAAAAAACCCGGAAAAACCAATAAATTACTCGTTGGACACTATTAATCCCCACGGCGCGAGAACAGAGCGCTGATTCTACAAATTTGTCGCGCGCGAGTTCGACACGCGCGCTTTTTTCTCAAAATTTTCTTTCGCAATCGCAAAACTTTATCGCGTGAAATATTTTTCCCGAAGCGTGCTTGCTTTATTCGCTCCGGAGATACGTTCGAAGGGGATCGTGAAAATACCTAACGCGGAAAATGCCACGAGAGTTCCGGCAGGTAAGCGGCAACGAGGAGACGTTTTGGGTCTGCGAAAGCAACTTTACTGCAAATGAGAGTTCCATGCGGTATGCACAAGAGCAACATGTGCAGTATAAATTTTTTTACGGTATATTCTTCTTTCTTCGGCAACTCGCGTAACTCTTCCGGGGGTGGATTAAAAAATAGTGGCACAATCGCTCTCGCCCGTTTTACGACAAACTCTTTCAAGTATCGAGCGCGCGTCACACATCTCTCGCGCGAGGCGCATGAGAGAACATTTTTTACAGCGCGTATACATCCCGAGTAAAGTTTCACTTACATGTTGAAACTTCTTCGTCGGAAATAATAAATTCAATTTTACGAAGAACCAAAGATCGTAAAAAGAGAATTAATCGAGAATTACAAAATCCACCCCATCCGCAGCGCCGTTTTAAAGTTTCTTGCGCACGCAAAATCCTTCCCCTCTTCCGCTCGCTGTCAGGATTTTTAAAGTTTCGCATCCGCGAGGAGACTCGTTAATGAAAAGTTAGCAAGAGGCGCGATTTTAATGTTTTCATCAGTCGTAAAATGTTGCAGGTCGGGGGTGAGACTTTTAATGCAACCTTTATGGTGACGCCGCTGCAACGCGGCTGCAGCGCGAACCTCCTGACCCCGCTGCCTCTTTTACGTCGAAAATTTTGCCGACGCGGCTCGCGTCGTAAAAGTTTTATTTTCAACCGCGGGAAGAAAAAACCGAGAGACATAATCGCGCCATATTAAATGTCCCATTCACAATGGGAGTTTTGCGCGCGAGATTCGTCTGCGCGCGTTCTCTTTCCGCGCGTATGACAATCGCGGTGAACGAGAGGGGAGCACGAGAGGGAAAAAAAGACAACGGCGAGAAGAAAAAAGAAAAATATTCTATCTAACGAAACCCTTAAATTTATACGCGTCGCGGGTGTTCGCCCTTCACGCTCGTTAGAAATCCTTTGTCGTGGCGTCGGATCATCTTTATTCTCGAAACGTCGTGGCGAGGTCTTTTTTTCGCATCACCCGATCGCGCGTTATCACGGAACACAATTGTGCGATACTCACGAATGACTGAGACGTGATCCACTTACGAAAGTGTCGCCTTACCTGAAACAAGAGAAATTATTATTGTTAGTTTAATCAACAAATAACGAATGTTTACGTTAGAAATGCACTCAAGCCGTACATTTCTAAACACTATTGTTGAAAAAAAAAAAAGAGTAACACGAAAAGAGAGAAATGGATCAGAGAAGTTCCCAGGTCCAAAATCTCTAGAATAAAAAAAAAAGAAATAAAAAAATTAAAAAAATAAACAAGAAAAAAAATACAAAAAGATCTACGTGTTACAGAGCTCGCGTCGAGGATCGACCGGGCTCGGTCGCGGTCAGAAACGAGTAACGAATCGAGGAAACATCAAATGTTTCCGCGCGATATAATCTCTTTCGCGGCATGCAGTGCACGCCTGCACACGAGAGACGAGAACACTTGTGCGTTTTCACGCGCGCGACGCTACACAGAGTCCCGGTGATTGCGCTCGTTGCCTTTTTCATAGCGCGACGGCGGCGGCGGCGGCGGCGGCGGCGGCGGTGGCGNGGTGGCGGCGACCGTTCTTTGACAATGAAATCGCTCGGGAAATATTTGCCCCGAAACGGGCATGTACCGTGGCCGCGCCAATCGATCGCGTTAATCCATTGACAAATAATAACGAAACGCACACGCGCGCTGTGTGTTACGAGCGCATCGATATACTCCTCCACTTGTAACGTGCCGATTATTGTTAATTAATTGCAAATCCGTTTAGCGCGCGGCTTGATGATGGCGGTAACGATAATGCGTTAAATATGTAATGGCGCATTATTATTGTACATTGTTACACAAAATATATTCGGCTCCGAAAGAATCTGCATGAAATTACCCATTTTTTTTCTCTTTCCGACGATAAGCGAAATTTTTGGGTTTTCTTAAAAACTTGAGAAAAGAACATACACACGCGAATAGAAATGAATTTTCTTCGCAAACACGCTTTGAAACCTATGCAAAACCCAAGGTGTTTCAATTATGATTAACATTAAGGTGTCATTGCCGCGTGAGTTAAACATTAATAACTAGATAATGCAAAAAAAAAAAACAAAAAAAACACGCCTTTAAAGTGAACCTGTAACTAACGCACTTAATGTAAAGGGAACCGGTTTAATAAACGGCATAATAAAGCCCATCTCGTTAGTGCGCGTTTAACGATCTAATGACTGCAAATGAGAGGGAGAAGCGATGAGTTCTAATAATGAGAAACTCGAGGGGAAAGAAGCGCAAGTGAGAGAAGAGAGGGAGGAGGACGAAATGAAAGAAAAAGCGAACGC